CTCGTCAAGATACTGAACCAAAAGGTACCTCAAACCTCACAATAATTGGCCCAGGCTGCCTGGACGACGTGCGTGTGAGCGGTCGACGGCTGCCGATGCCCCCGGCCCTGAACGCCACCCGCTGGGGGGCCGTGGAGGCTGCGCTGGACCTGGCGTCGGGGTGCGTGCCACCTTCAGCCTGTGTCAACGCCACCTGCTCTCCGCCCTACAAATGCCTGGATACTTGGAAGCAGTTCAAGTGCGAGTAAGAAGCATCTTTGGGCCAGTATTTGGATACAACTATTGTCTAAACTATTACTTTTGGTGGGTACAAATTTCACCAGTGGCACAATGTAAAGAATGATGCGAACGAGCCTCTAAAAGACGAATTCGCATACATGAACACATTTTTAGGGGACTTCTCATTGCATTCATAACTTCACTACTATGTGCACGTTGTTATGAATAATTTTGGAATCTGGATGGAAGTGGACCACTCTGTGATTCTGAACAAAATTTTATGAATCAGTTCCAGCCTCATCTCCGTAGGTATACATCAATTCATTACGCTAGGTTGGACATGGATTAAAATAAAGGAAAACTCTTTGGCTCCAGAGCTTTATTTTGCTAAAACCAAAACTTTAAACGCGCACAAAAATCCTAACACACAAAGCACTGTTGTGCCATAACAAAACCAACACAAAAATCTTAGAGCACGCAGGGTCGAGCCCCGTAAAAACAAACACCGACGTGTCGTTCTATACAAAATACCGCTGGAGTTTATCACACAAAACTTCAGAGCAGCATGCCTTCCGTTGTCAATTGTTCGTAAAAACCTCTGAAATATAGCTTGCATCCGCCAATAGCCACGAAGAAGAAATGCCACTCTTTTCGGTTTGTGGTCTAAAAAGCGTTTTTTCGCCCCCTGGTCCGCAGCTGCGGCAAGGGCTTCCAGCTTAGTCCCGACGGCTCCTCTTGTCTGGATGTGGACGAGTGTCGCTACGAGCCTTGCCTCAACTTCGCCTCCTGCTCAAACTCGGTGCCAGGTAATGAAAATTTATCCCACAGTAAGATTTTTTCAGCTGGTCAGGCTAAGATTGATTCCTTAATTATGTTGTTTCAATTGTAGATTTCTTGCATTGGTGCTTCAACAATGAAAATGTATTTTTATAAGTCTTTCCCAAGCTATCTCGAATAGAAAATTTTGTAAGAATGCCAAGTTGCGAAAGGATCTATATATATCAGTTCCACCATGAAATTGACTATTACTTTAAAACACTCCCAATTTACATGATGAAATGGAACTTATTGTCTTTAAATACATATATGATTCTTGACGTATAATAATTTTTTGCATGGGCATGGGATATCCTGAACCATCACAGTAGATTGAAAGTCAAACACACTTGTATTTCTTCATTATAAATCAATCTTTGGTGTCCATTAAACTTAAATTATTAATGAGGTAATCAACCGCATCTGTCATTATATGAGGGACGGTTAGAACATCAACTCTAATCACCTAACTACTCAGAAGAAATATATGGATTCATTGTAAATTTCAGAAAATGGCAAGGTCATCATGAGAAAATTATTATAAATTTCTATTTACCATGATAAAATCACATAATTCAGCGGGAAATCGTACTATGTTCTGTAATCATGCATTATTACTGTCATTTATTAGCCACATGTTGACGTTGTCTTTTTAAACACGATCTCTGGGAACAAAATCGTTCAGTAGCACCAACCATGAAGACGACAAGAATCGGATTTTGTTAGGAATAAGCACCCCGGTATATCCTTGTCAATAAAACGCACCCCAGTATAAACCTTAGGAGAATAACTTTGTAAATCCTCTCTATCCCTTTTTAAGTTACTTTCTTCAAGAATTCATGTGGCGAGATCGCTTCTCAAAAAATGCTTTTGAAGCTTTATGAGATCATATTGCGGCTCAGCACTTTGACTAAGATAAACGCTTAGCTTATCATTTGGTATTTAATATTTTGCTATGTATTTTTCTACATTGAATTATAATTCTTAAAAAATGTTTAAATAGACCTAATTTGTTTGTATTTTTAAGTCAACTAACCTTATCAAGAATACGCAACCGAATAACGACTGGATTGCTTATTCTTAACATAATCCCAAAAATCATTTTCAAAAATTTGCGATAATTTATGTTCTGCTAGAAATATCGTCAATGGTTTAGTGGTTAACGATAGGCAAAAATTCCTAAAGAAATATATTGTGTGGCTTTGTTAGAATGTCAGAAAAAAAGTTTTTAAAAGGTTTCTTCAATTTGTGAGTAAATCAACGAATACTCTGTGAATTTCATTTCAAGGAAAACATCGTGAGTATTGCATGCCAGTATTCAAATTTAGGAGCCACAAGTTCCTAAGATAAGTCATAATTCTCCCCGCGTGCTGATGAAAATACCGTAAGTGGAGACAATCTCTACAGGTGAGACATCCACACTGCATGTAGCCGCCAAACTAGACAATCTTATGACAGGTTGAAGGGATATGAGCTTTCACCTGTTAAATTGCGCGGGTATATCTTACCATTAGAACCAAAATGAAAACATTAAATAATTCTATAGTACATCTTTCCAAATGACTCTCCGTCTTGCAAGCACCAGACTGCCTATAGGAGTAAATACCTGAAAAGATAGACTTCAAACTTAGAACCACGGCACAAATTCATGAATCGTTAAGCCTAAGAGAAACTATTTCCTTTTAGATATTGTACCCTGTTTCTTCACATGTTTCACGGTAAATTGAGGGAGTTAGAATACGGACCTCCAGCTGAATGCCTTCTTGAAATAGCGTCCTTGTAAATTCTAATCAGCCATGTAAGGCTGGCTGAGGGTGATACACAAAAAAGAATAATCATACCTGGAGCCTTTTAACTGACTTTTCTATAAAGACTGTTGCATGACTGCCTTGTGCATGTGCGCCCTCAGTAGTGGAGTTTTCTTCAATTATGTCTCAAGGTACAGTATCAACTGTACCCTGAGGACGAACATAACGTAATACTGGAGTTGTAAAAGTTTACAATTTGCGTATAAGGTTTAATATTAGGTAACTCTATCATATGTATTAGACGATGAACGTTACTGTTAGGTATACGGAAATCGTCTTCTTTGGTTTAATTTGCTCATATTTATTCCTCGTTGATACAAATGATCTGTTTTTCTTTTCAAGAAGCTGTGTTAAGTGCACGCCTTCATGTTCATGGAAATGGTTCTACTGCTCAATGAATTCAATATTTAATGCGTTTTCACGTAAAAACTCTTCTGAATCAATTTTGCTCATTTTTCATGTCTTCTCTCGATGTTCCTACAAGTTTTAACTCCCCAGTTTGATTTCATTTTGAATTTAGGAAAATAAATATGTCATATCATATAACATAATCCATCAGACTCATCAATGCGCAACATCATTGATGAGTGTGCATCATTACCTACCAAGTAATAGAGTAAATACTGTCGACATCACTTCCATTCTTCACCACCAACACTTGCCGCCTCGCGTCACAGGCTACCACTGCTCCTGCACTAGCGGCTACGCAGGCCACAACTGTGAGCAGCAGGCCGGACCCCTGGCCTTCCCCCTCGGCGGCCTGCCTGTCCTGCTGGCCTTCACCTTCTCCCTCGCTGCTGTCTTAGGTCAGCCTGAATATGATCCCTGAAACCTTGTATGTTTGTTAAATTCGTTCAATGTGTATGTTTACTTACGTAAAGTAATCATTTCCATTGAAATCATTCATCGTGACAGAAAATCATTTACCGGAACAAACATATACCGTACTCTTCATTTCTTTTACAAAGAGCATGTTAACACAGGTTTTAAATGCTGTGTGTAAAAACAAGACGTTGCCCGCAGCAGTGGAACTTTTCAGGTTAATCCAGATCAGCAGGCCTACTCTGCATTGCAGGAAAACAAACTTGCTTCCCCCGGAGAAATTCATAGAATTAATGCCATTCCTATAGCGCTTCCCAAATTTATGGTGAGGCGTCTTCTCCTCGCAAGATACGAGGATCAAGAGTACTTTTAGAGCTATCGTCAGTTAACACACCCGTTAATTTATGTACTTACTAACAAACTTACACATACATCCTTGTAAATATCATGAAATAATTGAATCAACAATGCAGTAGTTCAGGCATTTTTCTTCATTAGTAATTCATTTGCTCAACGACTGACAATTATTTCGTTTCGGTGGCTTATTGTTAATATTTTTTAAGGACGAATTGGCTGTTTCTACAGGTTTGCTGGCGATTGCAGTGTCAACTTATTTTCTAAGGCGCCGGAAACTCGAACTCAAGACAACGTCAGTCGAAGGAACAGCAAGTAAACAAAAACATCAACAAGTCATAACCTCAACAATCATAGACTCCTCCAACCTCTCCCAAGTGCCTTCTAAAGAATCTAAGAAAAGTGTTTCCATAGAGGAGCCATCTAGCGATAAGCAATTTTCTAAAGAATCGTTGAAAAACATGACATTATTTTCAAAATCTTCTTCGAAAAATGCAGCGCTTTCCGAAGGACTGCAAAGGAAGAATTCATCATCCAGAGAATCCTTGTCTTGTGAAGGAATAAATTCAGTAGCCGGCCACGCCATCGAGGTGCGCTACACGGCCAGCGCCGCCACACACACGACACTCGCGCCCAGCGTCTGCGAGCTGCACGCGCTCCAGCACGACGCCGTGCCTTGCTTAGGGCGCTCCAACCCCGACGCCGGGCCTTGCTTAGGGNCGTGCCTTGCTTAGGGCGCTCCAACCCCGACGCCGTGCCTTGCTTAGGGCGCTCCAACCCCGACGCCGTGCCTTGCTTAGGGCGCTCCAACCCCGACGCCGTGCCCTGCTTAGGGCGCTCCAACCCCGACCTCTCAGGTAAGTTCTCCTACAAATCCTAAGAGACAGTTTAACCAAGCTGATAAGTGTTATTTTGATGCAAAATCTATGGCACATTTACCCTGAAATGTCCGCAGTCGATGGTGTATAGAGATTGTATAGAGATTGACCCTATATAATCTACTGATGGTAACTCAAGTTACAATGCATTTTGACTCGATTAGCATTAAGGAGGATTAATGTATCTGGCGACAAAATTTTACTGGAGAAAGAGGCTCATTTGAACTGTAACTATTTTCACGTGACCGCTTTTTTGTGTCATTCATCAGGCGAGGACGTGACGAAGTCAGGCCATTCAGGGCCACTGAGCGCTCTAACGCTCATGGCGCCTCGAGGCTATAGAGACGAAGATCAGGTCCAGCACAACAATTTCAAACTGCAAAGTAAGTGGTTATAACGTTAAATAAAATGAACCAAGTTTTCATAAAACAATGCTGCTATCACCGGTGTTGTTTGCTTGCAATTATTTTTTTAGAAAAGCAAGTTTGGAATACAAGAAACTCAATTTAACCTTCCGACTAATTCAAAAGAGATTTATTTTGACAACTTATTCAATTGAATACTGACATCTGTTACCGTGCCATTTCATCAGAATATCTTGTGATACATGTACATTTATTCATTGATACGCATATTTCTGTTCATTAGATTCATTGGAGAACAGCTCGATTACATATTATTCAAATTTATGCAAAGTTTTGCTGCGCCCATTTGCCTGCATTTTCAAATAAAACGAAAGATTAAAGCGATTTTATTCGCCACAATATAATTCACTGTGATGATGCATTTGCTTCAAAAATATATACCTTATTCCGTAGAAGCTAATACAATGCAAAACTATTTCCTCTCAGTGCATGAACTCATGATATGTACATCACCATTAAAAGTTGTTATGTTAAGTTGGGATCCATTTAAAATTAATTGGTTACAGTGTTGAGCTTCTATTCATTTCATGGATATCTCATCTGATCTTACAAAACCTAGCGTCAGAAATTTCGCCGATGTAATGAATACAAAACCAAGGAACCATTCGAAAATCAAAGTGATTACGCAATTTTAATTTCTGCAAATTTTCAATACCACTGTTTGAAAGCAGTAAGTTGACCTTGTTGCTTTACTCGTCTGAACCCGTTTTAAGCTTTAACTGATATTCTACTCAATTAATAACCTATTTTCAGAAATAACTCAGAATTTTCTCTGTCAACGAACCTATTTCAAACCCGCGATGGGATAATACTACGCGATGGGATGAGCCCATCGCGTATTAGGTAGAAAATTGCAAAGCATGTAAAATATCGTTTTTTTTATTCTGATTCTATTAAGAAATGGAATTTAAATTTTCTATGCGTAAAAATTTCTAACTTTTCTTTTTTGGGATCATGACTGGAAAATGTATTGAAACAATCCTACCCATCGCATAAAATACCTTTTAAGAAATAAACAGTGTGTACAGTAAATGCTGCCGTCATAAATACAAATATGTTTTCAGTAAATACTTTTCTACAACAGCGTTTGTGATTACTTACAGTACATGATAATTTTGAGCCCTTTGTTTCACGAAAGACTTAATCAAATTGAGATCTCAATGTTACTCTTGAAATAAACCACCTTTCCCTTGGTCTGCATTGTTCCAGATGGCGAGGAATCCATCTGCTCCGAGACTCCATGGCCGCTGCTCCAGTCATGTACTTCAGACTCCACTCCTGATAATATCAAACGGCCGTACTTTTCATCTCTGAGTCGCAAGTCAAATGAATTGGCTCCTTTTCTCAACGTCAGTGGTGAGAAAAAGATATCGGCATCTCAGCCAGACTCAAATGAAATAATGGAAAAAGTTGCTTGGTATTGTGAAGTGCACAACGCTCCCCAAAAAACTGACATGATGGAGAAAGACTCAGAAGTTGATCCCGCATCAGGATCTCTGCCTGCTCAGACAATGTGTTCTGTATCTCATGAGTGCAAGGCTCCTAGATGACAAAAACAAGTTTGAAAAATTTAACATTGCATTGAATTTCATAACTATTTGTTCGATGGAACTATATATGAATTATCTAAATATATTTTCAACTCACTCGAGCTGTTCTCATTTTGAACCAAACTTTCTACAAACGGAGACCATCACCAGCAAATCCAGTATTATATGCCTGCGAAAGCAGCTCAAGCAAGGGAATTTAAACAATTTCGAACAATCATTGCCATTTATGCAGAAACGCCCTCCACCCTCTTCCAGTCGATAAAATTTTTTGATTCTATTCTAATTTGAGTCTTTAAAAAATCGAATTGGTAGTTCTGTTGAATTACACTGGCTTATGCAAGTAAAAATAAACGAGACCACATCAACAAACCAAATGTCTGTACAGAAGAAATTACTTAAACAATGAAGACACGAGCGCGTTTATCATGAAAATAATGAAAATAATCATTTGCGTCACTTAAAATATTGCAATTAAATATTGAAAATGAAGCACTCTATCCCACTGGTAGGCTAAAAATCATATAGGTTATCACATCAAAATCTGCTTCAGGAACGGAACAAAAGACTGGACTTGCATATGAACCTCGGCGAAACGGGATACAACAGTAATATCCGAAAATCTGAACTTTTTTTATTGAAAATGATATGTTCATTCGTCAATGACTTGATTCAAATGCCACTCTTTTCAATTTTTTCCCTTTCAATAAACAAATTTATCTTCGATTTCCAAACCTTGAAAAATATCTTTCTTTTCTAAAGAGAGATATTGAAAAATATTTCACTTGCTACAAATATTACTAGCTTGAGAAAAATCGAATTTGTTGTGTATTAGAAATAACAAAAATTCTGCCTTCATATCATTATTCTTTGATCATATAAATCACCAAGCCAAGTTCTTGAGCTTAGTCGTCTTCAAATAATGAAACTTGGAGTTCACAATATCATTTTACTTCTAATTTCAATTTTTTACCAATAAAATCATAAACAATTCATTTTTAAATTACTGAAGATTATGTCAAAATTTCTAAGTAGTCCGTAAACATTTCCAGTACCCATAAAAAGTTGTTCTTATTCTGGCGTTTATATGTTACTCAGCGCGTGCTTATGGCAGACATGAACACTTAAGAGCTTCCGACAATCCTAAGAGCTGGAATTATTCACACGTGGCTCGTTTGCAACCTCCACTAAAGAAAGGTTCACTAAAGATAAAAGTCTTATAACAGAAAGTAAAGTTGATGAATTAAACAACGAAACTTTGTCTGATAAAAAGTATGTATGATAAAATAAAATAAAAAAACTAAAGTGACAGCGTGTCTGCTGTAAAAAAATACTAATTAAACTATAAAGTTTGGAAACGGGGAAAATCCCTCTTTCACCGAGAGAAAAAATCTCAAAAGTATTTTCGTAAGCCCGTCCTACTATATGAATCTCATGAGCCTTTTTAAGACGTAATAAGATGCTTCCTCAACCGTGTGCTGTGCTGCAGCAAGTTTAATTTCTAGACTCAAACTTGCCACGTTTTATCTCCAAACAACAGCGATTCTAAGTGGTCCTCGGCAACCGACTAATGCCGGCGATTGTTTGGAATTCAAAGGCCGACTTCCAGCAAGCATTAATTAAAGACCGTAAGCTGTTAATTATAAAATAGGTTTTTCGTACTTAATCTTAGAATGAAATGCAACTTGGTAAGTGATTTGCGCAGAGATGTCCATCAAACAGCTACTTTTAGAATACGAATATAGGTTAAAATCGCCGCTTTAGTTGAAGCGATGAAAATGAGAGGTCATAAATGGACAATCTTACGCAAGTCAATGTTATGTGAAAATTGTCACAACCTAACTGTTAACATTGATATTATTTCCATTCTCTTTTCTTTGAAACGTTAGAAAAAATCATTCATATGAGCTTCGGATGCAAACACTATTTCAGTACGCAAGACTCAGCGACATTTGCTCCAAACATAAGAAGCACATTGATTTTGACAGAAAAATTATTACGATCACCTGTTCATTCAAAATTCGTAATGAAAAATGAAAACTCAAATTAAAATGAAATAATTGCTCGCTTGTTGATTATATCCTGAAAGAAGTTGTCGTCCATCACTTTAAAATTTGAAGGACTGCAAGCATTATCTATAGGTTTTAGTTCAACCACCTACTTCTTACACGTTAATTCGATGTTAACATTGACGTAGGATCTACAATGAATCACAACGATTAATGGAAACGCTGAGCTTGTCTGATATTTTATGCTAACATTTCTGCACACGTGCATGAATCGCCGAAAAGAAATATAATGTAGAAATTGCTCTAGGAAAAATAACTATAATAGAAGCTTTTCGGCTGACTTACAAAAGTCATATTTTAGTAACGCGAAGTATTTCAAAACTGATTTATGAACAAGATCGGGTTACATAAAAATTTTCTGCTCATACTGGTGATACAAAAAATTTTAAATTTCAATCCGTATTTTTTTCACATCACTCTTTAATTATTTAATATTACAATTGAAACCGATTTATGACTCTAATGATGAAATCAATAGACAGAACTTTGAATAACGAACCTCTGAATTTTTTCGGAAGTATTTTCAAAGATTTCACAAATGACGCGAATTGGCTTAGGCAAACATAAAATTTCGTGCCGCGTATGATCTGTCGTCCGTTTTTCTGGGTGAAAAAATAGACGGCTCCAAGATTTATCGAAATCCTGACGGGTAGATTTTGTAACGAATCCGAGCATGGCTGTCAAAACCCCGAATGATGTCTCGTAAATATCGGCCATTGAATCTTTACTTCAGGCTTTGGTTCTGGCGTCGGGCGGCATGAGGCAAAATTTGAATAATCCATGTCGACGGCAGCTGCCTCACTCCCCCAATTGCACGTCATATGAATGCGGTGTTGGGAATTACGAATTGTACTCAAAATTCCTTGGAAATTTCAATTCAAACGGTAAAATAAAAATAAAAAGTAGGGGATAGTATCCTTGTAGGGAGTTTTTTTAAATACGTCATACGCCACGAATGATTACAAATAAATAAATGAAAGAATAATGAATCACTTTAGAATGCTATTAAAAGTTTTTTGCTTAATGCTCTTAAGAAATTTTTTCATTATAATATAACGCTACCACCTATTTAGTTCATCGATCCAGAACAAGATCTTAAATTTGATCTCAAAATTTTCTACACATCGTCTTACGCCACCACAAGTGCCTAGGCCATGCCCGGAGCCTGAGCCTCAATAGGCTCTCCTGCGCCTCGCCAGGCTCTCCTGCGCCTCGCCAGGCTCTCCTGCGCCTCGCCAGGCTCTCCTGCGCCTCGCCAGGCTCTCCTGCGCCTCGCCAGGCTCTCCTACGCCTCGCCAGGCTCTCCTGCGCCTCGCCAGGCTCTCCTGCGCCTCGCCAGGCGCCTCAGGGAAGAGCTGCCAGGAAGTGTTGAGCTGAAATATCCTGACAAGCCGCCCGCCAAGTGGGATAAGCTGGGCAACAGGCTTCCCTTCAGTGTGACCAGATCCTTCAAGTGAGAGCTGCGATAAACTTGTAAGTGACGTTCACGTTAGGAGTAGGAGCTTTAAAATGAAATAGATTGTGTGAAATATTCTGATGTATTTTTAGTATAATATAGATTACGTGAATTTTTTTAAGCATTCTGCCATTTCCAATAAAAAAATTGCATTCAGCTAGAGAAAAAAACTAATTTAATTTAGAATAATTCTTCGGTCTTACGAAATGACATGAAATAGCAAGAGATACGATCGTTAACAATTTTGGTTCCTACATTTTAATGAAGAATAATAAAATATGTGATGCTGCAATAATTGATGCATCACTTACCTGTGAACGCCCTATTCATCTAGTGATTCTGGAGGAATAAATTAATCACTGTCAGATACACTTCCATTGTTTCAAAACATCAGAAAGAATTTACCATGAAGCGGGCTTAGCAATAAACGAAGTGAATGCAATTTCAGATCGCCCGTCTAAAACAAATTGTGCACACGGTTCCTCAATTTAGCGCGCGCCCGTGAACCGGTAGACCAAATGCCAGAGCTAACGGCGGTCCTTCGGTGGACGCCATTTTCCCACCAAATTTTGACACGATGAAATGTACGTAATTTATCCACAGGAAATTCATCGGAGGAAATACGGGTATTGAGAATCTATGTGCAACGCCTATATTTTAACTAAAAATACAAAACTGTGAAATTACTGTGTTTTTATTTTAAGGATGCAGTTTCAAAGCGAGAAATATCCCAATATTTTATCAAGTGAGTATTATTTGTTTATTGTGTGGTAACTTGAGTGGAAAGCCATCCTTTCAAGTTGCATCGATGTACAAATGACGCTCCATCTCAAAAGGTTAATTCTGTAGATTCAGTGCATGCAAGTTTTATAAACAAGTAATACTAGTTTACAGATTTCGTTTTTAAGACTTTTACCCGCTTAATTGCGACAAAATATGACAGCTTGAATTTTGGTTTTATTCGTCAGATATGCTAGTAACATAAAAAAAACAAATTCTACAAGATATTGTTACGCTAAATGTACATTTTCACGATTCTTTCTATTCTACTAAATTAATGGTAAATATTTGGGCGATAATTCAGGGGAATTTTAATAATATACACGTGCACATAATTTGGGAGATATTCATATTTCATGAAGATGGATGACTCAAATAAATAAATTTTAAAGGGCACGATATCGCGGCGCCCACGGCAGTTCACAGAGATAATGAGCGAGTGCCCGCAAAATCCAGAATAATTGTTATGCGCACTAAAGTTAATACGCACATACCGCAATTCAAGGGAGAACTCCGGAATAGTCGTTGGCGAAAAGTCTAGTTAAAACATAGCGAATAAATATGAAACAGGCGTTGAAATTTAACGATGTTGGAAATTGCAATGGTTTAGTGTTATCAAACAATTTCCAAACTTAATTAAAGAAACATTTAATAATATGACTGACGAGGTTTTTGCTTGAATATATTTTTCTTCATAATTCGAGACATTAAAAGTGAGATGTTGGTTCTGGCAGGCAACTTCCGACTCGTTACGAGATAATAACTTGCGG